ATTTAGTAAATGAAATACAACCACAATAACCATTTAAAGACACATACATCACAATGTTGCAATATTTGTACACCTATAAAAGTTCATTTTTTATTTGAAATTTTGATCACCCTTATGAGGTGGTTGTAGTTCATTTAATTAATTTAATATGATTATCATTTACACATTATTGTGTCTCAGTATGAATTTGAAAATATAGGTCTTCCCTCATATATGCATACTAATGAAAAGACTTTTAAAGCAACTGATGCTTTGAACATATTATGTGTAATCTTCTACAACCTCTTGCAAATAAAGATGCTGTTCTTTTCTGTAAGATCAGTTCTATAACTAGAAAATATGTTCTATTTGCTAGAAATAGTGCCTCTTCCATTTTTACCATAGTACACAAATTACAAAAAATGTATAAAAATTTCATAAGGTAATCAGTCTGACTGAAAGGGAACCTGTAGCAATTATACATACTTTTCTGTTACAAGAAAGAGCACTTTTCACAAATAAAAAGTGATGAATAATACATGAATCACATTTTTTTTTATATATCTGGCAAGCCTTCACATGTAATCATAGAAAAATAAAATTTAAACAAAAAACCCTTACTTGACATTCAATAAGATTTTACATTTTTCATAATGTAAACAAAACAAATTTGAAAAAAGTAAAAAAAAAGAATACATCTATGTATTTATACTGTATATTACTAGCTTATTTGCCCTTCCAGTGGCCATTAATATCTACATGTAAAACACTTTTATCTCCTACTCTGTCTTTCCCTTGTAACTAATCTATACCAGTCAGGGTTTTTATGATCTTCCAATGCCTTACGTACAAGTTCATCAGGGGATGGGGTATCAAACTTGAAAATTTCAAAGGGAACAGAAAAGTTTTTTTCAGCTAGTCTTTTCACTGTACATAGTCGAGGCTTTCTGATCATCACCTCTCCAAATGGTGATGGGGAGGTTTTGAATAGGGATGTATCACACTTAATTTTCACAGGATCAATGAAAACACTGTAAGATTCTTCAATGTCAGTATCAATTTCTGCTTTCTTCTCAGGATGTTTAACAAGAGCAGCCTGTAAATCAATCTCCTCAGTTATGTCTTCCTCATCTTGTATTTTTAGTAACTCTGGTTCACTTTGGGCATTTTCAGCTTCCATAATCTGACTGCCTCTTGAATCACTTAGTGCTTTGGGTAATGGTTCTACTTCCAGTCTTTGAGGAGTCTTTAAACCATGTGCTAGGTCAAGATTTGGAGCTGGCAGCACATTCAAACCTGGGAATAAGTTAAGCTCTGAAGGCAAATTTTGCCCTGGACATGCTTTTAGACCTGGTGGAGGATTTAAACCTGGAGGGAGACTCAGTCCTGGTGGTGCTTTTAAACCTGGTGGTACTCTTAGACCTGGTGGATGATTTAAACCTGGAGGAATACTCAGTCCTGGTGGTGTCTTCAGCCCTAGAGGCAAATGAGGACTTGAAGGAAAATCTTGTAGAGCTATATTGCTTTGAGAAGAAAAAGACTGACGAGGTGATGAATGATGCATCAAAGGTTCTTCACAGGAAACTTTCAGACTGGCTAAAGATGGTAAGTCAATCTCATTTTTCCCTGAGAGTAATCTTGTACTCAGTGCATCCCTCAAATCTATTGGCACTCCAGGAGCACTCTCTTCAGAATTGTTATGGAGCATTTTGCCTGTTCCATTTTTGTTGAGAAATTGGTGTGTTGTTATAACACCACTGCCACAAAATTGATTATCCGACTTTGGAGATCCTATAAGTAATGGTATTTTGAAATCAAGAGGCTTTGAAACACTGTCTCCTATAGTCTTCAACTGGGGGTATGTAGTGTCTCCCAAGTTACACTGTGCTAGGCTTGCAAGACTAGGCCCACTACTTGTTTGGTTGGACTGAGCAAGGCTTGAAAGACCTGGGATGCTGCTTTCTAGGTTGGACTGTGCTAGGCTTGAAAGACTAGGACCACTGTCTCTTACATTATACTGTGCTAGGCTATCAAGACTTGGCCCATTATTCTCTAGGCTAGACTGTGCCAAGTTGGACATGATGGGCCCATTGCCTTCTAAATTTGAAAGTGCCAAGCTTGAAAGACTAGTCCCAGTGTTTCCTAAGTTAGATTGTGCTAGGCTAGCAAGACTAGGCCCAACACTTGCTTGACTTGACTGAGCAAGGCTTGAATTACTAGGCCCAGAGTCTCCTAAATTTGACTGAGCTAGACTAGCAAGACTAGGCCCACTGCTTATTTGGCTAGACTGAGCAAAGCTTGGAAGACTTGGCCTAATGCTTTCTTGGCTGGTAAGGCTATTAAGACTGGGACCAAGATCTCCCAGATTGGACTCTGCTAGGCTTGACAAACTAGGCCCAGTGCTTCCTAGGTTGGACTCTACTAAGCTCGAGAGACTAGGCCCACTATTTTTCAAAGCTGATGGCAATACTGTAGGTAAACTGTGACCAGACTGTCCTAAATGAGAATGAGCCTGTAATGACTGACCAGGATCAGTGCTTTTCTGGTGGGACTGAGCAAGAGATGACAAACCCGGAATAGTATTTTCAAGGTATGACTGAGCTAAAGTTGACAAACTAGGGCCAGTACTTTCATGGCTTGGCAAAGGTTGGGGTAAAAAGCTAGGGCTCGGGGTTTCTTCCTTTGACTGAATAAGGAAGGCCAAACTAGGACCAGAATACACAGCAGAACACGAGCTTACTGGAGGAATGGAGAAATTGTATTCTCTTTCTTTTTCTTTTGGAAGCTTGGGGATTGGGATGTTACTACTCGAAAACACAGGTTTATCTACAATACACTTAGAATCTGTTGTAGCATTTTCAAGGTATGACTGAGCTAAATTTGACAAACTATGGCCAGTACTTTCATGGCTTGGTAAAGGTTGCGGTAAAAAGCTGGGGCTCGGGGTTTCTCTCTTTGATTGAACAAGGAAGGCCAAACTAGGACCTGAATACACAGCAGAACACGAGCTTACTGGAGGAATGGAGAAATTGTATTCTCTTTCTCTTTCTTTTGGTAGCTTGGGGATTGGGACGCCCCTGCTCGAAGAGACAGGTTTATCTGCAACACACTTAAAATCTGTTGTACTGTTCGCCTTCAATATAAGTGGAGGAATCTCTAATGGCAATACATCCTCCTGAGGACAGTCCCCCGAGTTACCTGAAGTCTGTTGTCTAGGAGCACTTGTACTAGATGTGTTTTCGTAATCACTTTCCATTTCCATGTCACAGTAATCTGTTATGATATCTTGACTATCCTCACTCAGATCTTGGCTTGACTCCCCTATATCATGACTATCCATGCTGTTTGTGACAGCTGAGTCGGCACTGCACTGACTCACATTTCGGGGGCGTGCATCACTCAGCACCACATTCTGCTTTCGCTTGTCTGTTCCACGCTTCTTCACAATTTCGATGTGCCACTCCTTGATCAGGCGCTTCACTGGCAAGCGTTCACAAGTGCACTTCCCAAATACAAGTGCTGATTCATAGCAATAAGCATCTGGCAAGTCATACTGAATACCAATATAATCACCTTACCTCATGAAAATCACAGCAGAATCATAATTATGAAAAGAAGAAAAAATTCAGGTTAGAAAATAGTTGGATATATGAATGACAAAATAAATGAAAATAAACACAAACTCTGAATAAAAATGCAATGTATGTAAAAAAACAGAAATACAGAAACAATTAGAAAGGAACAATAAATTGTAACACTTCCTCTCTGACTATCCATCCAAAACAGATACATTGTCTGATGAGGAGATTAATATGACTCAAATCTGTGGCAATACACAACAAATACAAGTAAATTTTGGGTTAAATCTCCTACTTGCTCTCCTGATGAACAGATTCATATATGCATTACATATTTGCCTTAAAAAAATCTGCAATTACTGAAGACAAATTTGTTATTTGTGCTCTACCAAGAAAGCCATACAACAGATATTGATTTAGAAAAATATTCTAAACGCAAGGAAATATATGAGATTATAAATCTAATTGTTCTCCGTGATAATTTCAATATATACATCTCTTCTGTGCAAATGAAATTATGAAACCAATGATTTATCAAAACTATGTAATGATCACTTTATCAGGAGTAACATTCTTAATGTTGTCCACTCTTAATGTAAATTGCAAGATATCTGAACAGTCAAAACCAAAGGGATAATTACTACATTTAAGCATATCAATACTAGGAAAGGTACCTACCTTGTCTACTTTCATATCTTCTGTCGGGTAACTGTCTGTATCCCCTTTGAATAAGAGCACTAATGGACGAATTCAGGTCATTATTGTTTGCATGCAGCATCTCCATCATCTCCTCCCTTGTAACCTGATGTCCAAACATGCTGCCAAGTTCTTCAACAGCAGCTTCCATTTGACCCTGTTTAATGAATGGATCAGCTGTCATCTTCTTGAATTTTAAATTTCATGAGACTATAACGATACTGTGTTTTGAAAGTTGCTGGAAGAAAATCACTTCCTTTTGTTTTAACCCCATGCTGCTGGGGATGGTATTGGCATACATAGTTTTATGATTTTCAATAAATGTATTATCCATGTCAACTGTGACTTTGGTTCATCAATTGATTTTATACATAGATGGTTCCACAACCTGTTTACTATTTTTCTTGATTTTTGGAGAGAAAAAAAATCTATTGCTGTTAGCATTATTAAAAGGAATGAAATAATCATCATGTCACTAATAATAATAATCATCAATATCAACAGCATTTAGAAACCCTTTTTTTTTAACTCAAAGAATGATGAAAGTAAGGGTCACACAGACCTACTTAATGACTGCTTGGTGTCTAAGCAATTGTGGAGCCATCTATATGTACACTAAAGAAGAAGAAGAAGAAGAAGAAGAAGAAGAAGAAGAAGAAAGAAGAAGAAGAAGAAGAAGAAGAAGAAGAAGAAGAAGAAGAAGAAGAAGAAGAAGAAGAAGAAGAAGAAGAAGAAGAAGAAGAAGAAGAAGAAGAAGAAGAAGAAGAAGAAGAAGAAGAAGAAGAAGAAGAAGAAGAAGAAGAAAGAAGAAGAAGAAGAAGAAGAATAACAACAACAACAACAAGAACAACAACAAGAACAACAACAAGAAAAATTCCCAGCAGGTTTGGGTTAAATAAATACCCAATTAATATACAGAGGAAATGACAGACTATAATGCTAATAAACAGTACTAATATTTAATCTATACCTGAGTATTTGCGAATCTGATTACCTAATCAAAATCCTTTCCCGATATATAGTAATGTAAGTGTTAATACTTCCTCATATTTAGTGTTTGTAAAGAAACACTGAGTTTAGCTCCTATAGTCCTATTGTGGTACTCTGGTTTAAGTACGGACAAAACCACAAGTCCTTTAGTGTAAATATACGGAACATGTGATAACAAGGATTTTTGCTTCTCATCTTTTGGCAGTGTGTGTGAATGTAACTAATATATCAAATTGTGGTGTGAGAATTAACAAGACACGAATATAAAATGATTCAGAGCAGAGATCACGATAATTGTGCCAGTCATGCAAGGTGCCTGACACTGCATGGAAATCAAAAACATTTCTTCTTTCAGCATTTGCTTTTCAATTCTATTGCATGGCTCACAACAATCAATGAATCTACTCTGCTTAGAGTAAACACATCAGTTATGTAACCCAAAACTACTTTTTCATATTTCCTAAAAAACATAAAAAAACATTTGCTAAAGAAAATTCTTGAAAGTTCCTTGTTTCAGGATCTTACTTCAATATCATAATACTTATCCATTTTTTTTTTTTTTTTAATGCTTCAGTAATTGGGCTATATATGTAGCCTATTACAAACAAAGATAATGAGTAAGAGGGACTGAAAAATAACAGGTATGGCTATAGCCATCATGATGTATTTAGGTTTTATGTCATATGGTGTCATGTTCTGCTGTACCGAGCAAACCCAGCCAGAAAGTTTTATCAGTTGTGTAATGATTACATCACAGACAATTCTGGTCCTGTCATGATAGGGTTAAAACTCCAATATAGCTTCTTCCCCAACACTCTTGTATGTGTGATGTGAATCCCTTACTGCTAAGTCTGGTTACTGTGGAGACCCATGATCAAACTTTGTTTCCCTCTTAACCAAGTTATCCTGTAACAGTGAATGTATAACTTGACAAAGGTGACTCTCTTGTTTGGAATTTCTCACATATGAAAGGCTCCTTCACACCAGTTACCATTCAGCATTCCAGCTGGAGGGATGATCTCCTGGGAGCATTGGGTAAACAGAATTAAAAAAAAAATTCTATAGAAGTTATGGTTGCTACACTAGTATAAATAATATGCAAATGCAATACCATAGGCATAGGAAGGTATCTTAAAGTGGGGGGCAAAGGAAGTTTTACAGAATATAGCCAAAGGTCCTGGGGCTGCAGTGTCCTGGTGGGGGACCATGGGGCAAAGCTTCAGGATTTTAGGAGTTTTAAAGAGATAAACTAATCAATTTCTCTACCAAAACCTCTGACATTTTTATTCAGATAATACTTGACATGATGGTTATTTCATTTTGAACACCAGACTCAGTTGTAGCTTCCCTCTCAATTGCAGGGGGTCAATGTTCTCAACAATTGGTAACTAAGGAATTGCACTGCTTGTTTGTTTACAAAGAATGTCCTCAAAACTTGAGTGGGGGGGTGGTTTCCCCTCTTGTCCTCCTTTTCCTTACCTATGAATACTGGAAGCTTAACCATAAAAGATGTGGCCTTCTGAACTTATTGCTGATGAGTGCTTCACACACTATACTGCACCATTTACAGGGCACTGTGTGCAGTCTAGCGTTCAAGAGAAAAGTAAAAAACACTAGAAGCTTGCATTTTCCCCTTTCTATGATTTGGTTGCAGCATTGAGTTTTCAGCAAATGAGGCTAATAGGGAACTTAGGCCTATTTTTGAATCGTGGCCATACTAGTGATGAACAACTGTTTGGCAAACCTAACACAGAGCAGGCTTGACATATGTGGCATGGGTGCATATACCATCCAAGAAAAATCCAGTCACGATATGGCCTATATGCATATACCACCCATTGGCAACTAGTTAATGGGAAGAAAGGAATACTGTACCTAAGAGGTGGCATAGCTCAGTGGTAGAGCACTGGTTTTGCTATTGCAAGAGCCTGGGCAGGGGTGCACAAATCAGATATTGCCATGGGAACCCATTGGGCTACCATGGCATCCACATTTGGTAGCCCAACATTGGATCTAGCAGTCTAACATGTAAAAGAGAAAAATAAAAGAGAACATTTCATTGAGGACTATGTGATAAGTTTTATTTCTTTTTCATGGTGACAAGACATGGAATGATAAAGAGTTAATATTGGTGGCACAAGAATGCAGCAATGATGTCTTCTGTGGTAGCCAAACAGAATATCATATATGTGGGGATACCAATTTGTGCACCCCCTGTTGGATTTCTGCCCAATCAGTGAGTAAGTGCTAGGGACAA